CACTATGCAGATTGCGTGATATCGCGAGCAGATACCCCCACCAGGTGAAACTCCAGTTTGGGGGGGGGCACTCCATCGCTATCTGATCCGTAGTACTAGATAGCAAACATTCCTTTTTTCAAATGAAAAGCATAGTAGAGCCTGTTGACCAGGGAACTGGACAGCTCTCTTCAAATTACAAATGTTTCCCATTTTTTCGCTATCAAAGCCATAACATCCTACAGCAAATAATGCTGTTAAAGGGTCTCAAAATCAGTTGGACACCCTCATATTTTCTCTGCGTTTCGGTATCTTCAAATGACGTCGAGTAATGCAAAGGAGCACATTCCATTTCAGGTCCTCGACCTTCTATTTGCAAATTACGTGAGTTCCGTCGTTTCCGATTCACGTTCATTCATCATTGGACTCAGGGATTTGGAACCAATTGAATTGGCCGCACTGCTCCCGTGAGTCATCATCAGTATTTCATTGGGCACCACGTGTTTCGTTGAAACTCTCGAATGAGAGTACGGATGACCTCTTCACTGTGGTTGCCATTAGGTAAATTTGTCGGTGGCTAGAAATAGCCGCATTGGGAAGGCAAGTACGAAAATAGCATGTCTGACTAGCCGAGATGTATTTTGGGTTCAGAGGGCTTTGTACTAATTACGATTTCCGTTTTCCAGTTTCTGATTTCGGAGATTGCAAAATAACTTAAGTGAAGTGTATGTCGAAAAAGCGATCTCCCTAATTCCATCAGGGATGCTATTTAGAAGCAAAAGCTATAATTCTTGCGCTACCCACATCAGGTTTCTTTTGTCATATTAAGGAGCGCTTCCTGCTGTTTTAACGCCGCAGTTCACGATACGAATATTTCAAGAGAATGCTGAGATTTGGGCAAAACTCGCGCCATAGGCGGGCTGTTGCTATAGGTGCGGGTTCGACTCCCGTCTGGGGGAAAATTTTGCCCATAACTCAGCATTCTCGTGAAAGATTTAGGAGTGCATTGAGTGGTGCTATCATTTTTCCTTCAGAAAGAACTGCTACCATAGTGATCAATTGCGTTGGGCTAATTGCGGGTTCGTACGGCCTCTCTCCCTCCTGAGAGGACCCCACACTACCCCCTATTTCTTTATTGCAGTAATCATTTTCGCAATTACTGTCACTTCCTTCGAAAAATTCTTAACCAGAGTGAGGTGTGTAAGTATAACCGCTAAAATTGGCAAAGTTTCTGCGGGATTGGAGAGGATAATGGCGATATTTTTGCGAAATTTACGCCTTGAAAAATCTTACTTGATTTCCACGAAAAAGTTGCCAATTCTGGAAAATGCGGAGATATTCATCTCGAAGCCACGATTAGCGCTTCCCCACTATTCCCCCCCGTCACTCCATTCATTGAGAAATGATCCAAACGCGAAATGGTATACATGATCCAACTGGATCATTTTATACATGATGGGCCATTAATTGGCGGAATGTAGGTGGTTTAATGTAACGAAGTAATAAAATAAAAAATTCAAGGTAATGAGCCATTGACAAGTGTTTTTCAAAAAGCACTAGCAGAAAATTGAGAAGCTAAGAGAGTGCTAAGTTGGGTGGGCGGGGGACCACGCGGCGGCGCGGCGCTCTGTTCGTCTGCTCCTCTAAGGCTTAGTCCAAGGGGCAGTTACTATTTCGTCGCCACGTGGCAGTTTCGAAATGAGCGCCATCGGCGGACTAAGCCTTGGAGGAGCAGACGAACAGAGCGTCGCGCCGCCGCGTGGTCCCCCCCCCAACTAAGTTAGCACCGAAATTGAAGGCTATCGCAACATACGGGCGATTTCGTGAATTACCTTGATTCACTTATTGATTAGTGTCTAACATGTACTGACGTTTGGAAGTCGCGCATGCTTGCCCATACTGAGGCTAAAATTTCCAAAGGGAGAAATAGATCAGATGATTTTGTAAGGTAGCATATCGCAAGACGTGGGGGCGAGGATTATAGTGACAACGCATTCAAACCGCGTAATAGTATAACTATCCCCCCGGCGCTTATCTGTAAAGATAGGACTAGCCCTTTGAGTGGGAAAGAAGAGGCTTCCGATCTGCGCTTTTTCTTGATGAGTGTTCCGCCTATCTGGCTTAGTCCTAAGGAATGCTGTGTTTGCTGCGATAGTTCTCAAAAGGGTTAGATTACAAGATCAGAAAAAAAGGCCAGCGGAATGCGTAGGAGTAACTTCTGGCACTGGGCCAGAATATACACGTTCAAACACGTTCTAAGCTTTAACCAGATTTCAGCAAGTGTGTAAACATGACTTCAACAAAATGCATACGTTTAGACAAAATACCCCCGTATACTGCGATAGCGCCAGGATTTGTGCTATGGTGTAGAATTGAAGTGCAACAAAGTGCAGGAGTATCCGTGTATTTTAGTGAGGTTTCAACTGAGTGGGTGAGCTGTACTACGGAAACATTACGACGATTGGGAATCCTAGAGGATACGTCAAATATCTACGGCTCATCACCAACAATCAAGGTGATTATTTTTTTACACTCTGAGTTCGGCCGGTGACTCATCTGGGCGCTGGGATCAGCAGTATATGAGCGCCTGGATAGTTACAATGAGCTTGAGATAGCTTTGCTCATTCATTCTGTTCAGCCGCCAGTAGTAGGTTCATTTTGTTGCTAAAAAGTGAAGGTATCGTAATTTCAGAAGTGCGAGCCGCAGGAGCAACCAAGTCTTCTTGACACCCCAATTCCTCGTCAAGTGAGTTTTGGAAGATAATCCCACCTCTGTGACTGGGTAGAATGGCTAAGCACTTTTTTCAAGGTCCAAATGTCCACAGAGGCTTCTCCACGCCATCGTGTTTTTCCGCATGATCCGCACTGTTTGAACAGGTCAGTAAACAGTTGGCGCCTTGACACGGAAACGTCATGTCCTTAAATGTTCGAGTAAAGTGCATATTCATCCTTTCAGGGGATCACAAACTCATCCCTCTCAGTCGTTGCGGCCACCGCTTCCACCACGATCTAACCAATCATTTCCAAGTCGACCGCATACGGTTTCCACGGACGAGGAACCTCCTATTGAGGAGGTAAACTTACCAGAAGTGCCCACTTTATTACTCACCTCTGAAGTAAACGTATCTTCAGACTACCTATGATGTTCTGTCAAGCCATGCACGAGTTAGTTGCGATAATGACAAAGACGGTGACTGGTATGACAGCCCGCGGCGGGTCTACGATATTCTGAGTCCTGGCGCGTCATCCTCGAACATTTCCTCATCACCACTCGAATCGACCCTCTCTACAACTTCCCTATGGTGAGCAATTTCATGGCTTCTTGAGTAGGTAAGGCTATAATGCAGGTATATCAAATCAGTAGCGCCAATTTTTTTTCGAGTTGACTAAATTAAAAGGTTACTCAGGAAAGCGTCCTTACTACAGTATTTTGCCATGCGCTTCAGCATTGGATAACAAAGTATAATGAAAAATTATTATACTACTGGC